CTTACGATGACATAGTCGAGCAGGTGAGTGTGACCACTCCGTGGGTGCGTCCAAGTTGCTATATCACTCACAGTCAGTGCAAACCGAGTGTTCGTGATCGTCAGGCCGTGAGTGGCACGCAGTGAGAGCAGCCTGTCACCGTTCGCATTCGCTGAACCAATGTCATGCGAACCGATAATATCCGCCCACACTGATGCATCACGCGCAACGCGCGCGTTGCAATCACCCAGCAGAAATAGTCGGTCGCTCCTCGGCACAGACCGTATCACTGAGGATAGCTGAGTGTAGAATTGATCACGCGTGTCATCAGGAAAACACATGGTCGAACCGTACGTGCTTATAAAAGTGGCAAACTCACCTCTTCCGAGTCGTAGGCGAACAGTCATCAGTCGCGCGCTGCTGCCTGTTGGTTCACCCACCAGCTGGCCATAGAGTCGATAGAATATTACTACTCTGACCTCATGATCACATGGTGCTGAGGCGGCGTTGCCCACCCAGTAGTATGTGTAACCAACACCTGTTTCATGCAACTTACCTTGCACAGCGAGCCGAGTTTCACTGAGCGCCGCAATATTGATATGGTAGCGCGCCAGCTCCATCGCGACCAGTGCAGTGCGTTGCTTGGGGCGCTCACTGGAGTTCCAGTCCAGTAGTGTCTGCACGTTCCTTCACCCGATGCTAAGCGCTTTACGCACAGGCATACGATTGCATTGGGTAATCGCACGCGAGGTGGTCGTTGTGCTTCGGAGATTTGCTTGCGGGACTCCACCAGGAGCCTTTGGCTCAATAGCCTGACCCACAAGGCAGTGGGGAGCAGATCCAGCTCGGGAATGTGATTGCAAAGACAGATTGGGATCTGCTTGAGGTCCGTCGCAAGCAGCTTTTGAGGTACTGAACCGTAGTAGGATACGCACCTGTGACCACGGCCAGACTCAGTTGGGTTTTGGCGGGTTTGCACCAATTTGACCAGGGGCTGCCTGGCTTGAGGCGGGCAGTAGCAAACCATTGAACACCCGGAGGTGCCCTCCCACCGTCAGAAACAATGTGTGACGCTCGTGCTCTACGCCAATCGAGCTGTGAGCTTATAACCCGTAGACCTGATGTCTCCCATGGCTAGGTTTTACGGGAAGTGGGCCATCGACCACTTCCTAACCTCCGAAGAGAATGGACTGGGGTATTGGCAGGGCGCCCACACCTGACAGGAGAACGACTCGGATCCTCAGCCAAAGCCTTTGATTAAATGTACACCCGAAAGGCAGCAGGTCTAGCACATGGTCAGTTCACTGACTCATACGAATTGGTGTCCTAGATCTTAGCAGGGAGAGGGGTGAAACCCAACTCCCACCCAGCGGTCGCCACGAGGAGGCGTCCAGGACATGTGCTAATGGCGCAACAGTAGCAGCAGTGAATATTTCGTCTGTCAGGATCTAGCCACCACCAGCCTCAGCGCACCATTGGCTCTCTCACTCACATTTCGGTGGTCATAGAAGTTCCCTTCTGATCTACTTCGCCTCTAGGTTACTTGCTTCTGTCGTTTTCCATAGACTGCCTGACACTCGTGAAAGCCATATCTGCGAGGGGCAAGCCGGGTTCTGTCGATCTCAGGGCTGTATTAATCACATCTAGACAGTAAGTCATTTGTTAGAGTACTGCCAAACTTATTGGCGACCCGCCGTAGTCGTGTTTATCAACATCAAGATAACTTCTATTCAGCTGCTCGATTCGCCGTTTGCGAATGCCTACTTAGGAGTGTATCTTAGAAACATATAACTATTCTAAGCGCACTTTACGCGTTTATTTCGAGTGGATTGAAAACATAGCAAGTTGCCACAACGCTTAAATGTATATAGCGGCATGACGAGTATGCCTGCTGTCACTTTTCTTTTTTAATCCTGCTATTGACGAAGTTATGGAAACTATGTTCACTGGGTAGGGCAAAACGTATTTATCATGTTCGCGGGATGAAGAATTGAACTGCTCACCACCTTTATTTCATACACCTGGCTCCGATGGCTGGGCCATATGTTACGTGTGCCAGCGTGGTGCGTTGTTAATGCGACCGGGGTCTGGATAGAAGAAGAGATGGAGATTAACCGATGGCTTGGTCAAGAGGAACAAAGGCCTGAAGTTGACTTCGGTTGTAGCCTCTCGACTTCCTGGTTTTTTGTCCCAAGCATGAGCACGTTTGCTTGGGCACATTTGTTCATATGGCGAAGAACTTACCTTAATAGTGTTTGCGATGTGCAATTCCTTATCCATTTCAATCCCGCTCAAAATGTTTTCTCAGTCACAATTCCTTCGTCCATCCCCAGCATAATGCAATGTCTATCGTTGTTATTATTGTTCAACTTTTGTTGTTCTGCCGTCTAATTGGTCTGTATAACGGCACAATACATGTAGAGTGAGGGTGGTGATGTTGATGACGATTTGGATAATAGTTTGTACCTTCGCAACCATATGTTGCCTCACTTCGCCAAAGTTTAATCTTTTACCGTGGTGACAACCTGGATATTGGCACTGTACGCCAACCGTGCTCGACCTAAAACCTGAACCCTTTCGTCTTGTAACTTAGCTTTAAGACGTGAAAGGCATCAATCTCTTATCATCCCCGAGTAGAGCACGTTGAAGCTACGTTTGTCGCGTCTTTATCCATTCGCTTGTACTGTATGAGTGGCTCTGGAGACACCATTGAAACGTCTCTCCCTGGGACTCAATTGGTCACCGAACCGAGCAGGCTACCGCTCCAAGCTTAGTTCCTGTTTTATCGCGATAATTGCGAAGTAAGAAATGGGTGCAAAATAGTCCGATTTCCCCTTCCACTTTATCAACTGTGTATCATTCATGACTACGATTTCACTCGCAAGGCTTTTGGTGTGCCCATACTCGGAATAAATTTAGACGACACTACTCTGCCGTTTTCAATGTCGCCGGCCTTATCAATCCCATACTGAAGCATGGGGTGGGCATTAGCAGTATGCTGGAACACCGTACCAATGATTCGCTGCCCATGCAAGCGTTAACAATATCGCGAGGACTGCATATAACGCGAGATCCTCTCACCTACGCAGATTCGAACCAGTGACCTGCGTATTAAAACGCTGGCGCGCAGTCCTTTCGGATACCGGTCGAAAGACAGACTTCCTCATAAACGACACTCTAAATAATAAATGATATATAGTAATGTTTCATTACTACTTTACTACATCGTATACTCCACCATGGATTTTTCACTTGTATTATTTCGCGAAGTTAGAATCCTCTCCGTGAGTAAAGTGGATGGTCCGGACCATGCAGTCGACCCCGTCCTGCTGTTTGACAGTTGAGGCGGCAGTCAACTCTGTTTTCTCTCTCTGTATGGGCTTCGTCTTTTAACATACACTTTGCACTTTCGAACTGCAAAGTGCTATGGCTAGACCACCAGTCGCTTACCATCCCTTTGCTTTTTGATAACGAGGAACTGGAGATAGTTAATCAACCCACTTACCTTAACACCTATATTTGCAGCAGTGACCGTGCGGGTGCTGATATCATCTCACGTATCGCAACAGTAGAATTATTTTTGATCTCATGGGGGCAACTTTGACATCAGAAGAGGACTTATTTCGTTCTTGAAAGTTGTATTTCTAGGATAGCAGTGGTGGTGGTTACCTACTGCATCTAAGCTTGGGCGACTTCAGATTTGTAGCCACTGTTGCTCGTGCCATTTGGCACCTGCGCATCCGTAACGATGATTTATGAATAAGAGTACTGGTTACCGATAGGTTAGTTCCTAAAATTAACTAATAACACTGAATAATTTACTCTAGTATTGGCACCTACTGTTTATACCCAGTTACCGAAACGTCTGTTTTCCTCACCCGGTGATGGGTGTTTTGCAGTTTGCGTGGCGCGACCATTTCTCTAACAACCTGAAACGAACTGACCGACCAACAGACCGATTGCTGCTGGCTAGCTTTACCTTACGAACTGGTATTCACTTGGTCCAGTCCTTTGCTTGGCTCGAAACGTTAAAGAAACTGGTCACAATTTGTATCTGTGGCGTATCCGTCAATTTATTACTTCCACACGGTCTGTTTACAACATTCGTGGTGCTGAGTTGTGAAATAATATTGAGTATAAGGCGGGTTATTGAGCACCGCATCGAGGACACCTGGTCTTATCTTCGCACGGTAGCCATCTTTTTGTGACCCTACGGATTTGGCAAGATAGAGCTGCCTTGATACCGTACGTTTTTTGTTGTATGTTTGTATTGAACTCGGTCCGCTATTCAACACTTTTCTTCACCAGTTGGGCCTTTTTCGTAGTTCATCATGCAATAATGACGAACTGTACTTGTCTTGATACCTAGTCGATGGCTGTTGGAAAAGCGTGCCCTGACCAATTTAAACGGGACGAAAACATTAAAAATTAAAATCCTTCTAATCATTAGTAATTTAAACGGTTTATATTCGCCAAACGATCCCGTGTAGCACCAGTGAGTATTGTCGAACATTAGCCATCTCGGCGTTTCCTACTCTGTAATTCCCCCAGGTACGAATACTGATGTGTGACCTCTTATGGTCAAAGATGCTCTGTCTCTTGATATCTTCGGTAGACAGTGGTTTTGTTTCACTTATACTGTCACGCTGCAGCGTCGCACAACCTTCCTCCGATCGACGAGCTGTTTAGATACATGACCCCGTTTACTACTTCCAGCGTTTCGTCCGTAAACTCACCATCTCGTGGTACGCCATTTCTATTTCACACTTGTACCTGCTACCCTGATGTTTCAATGTACGTCTTATGAGTGTTCAACTTATTCGTAATTGTAATGTTCTTAACTGAGATAAGTGTTGATATGTAGGATTTCTGTTATGACTGCACTCAGAACGCCATTCGATCAGACGTATTAAACCATTCCCCCCCCTACTGTTTCTCCCAAACTCACCCTTATATAAGCGCGTTTCTGAGCTGTTAAGCCTGTGATCGGATCACAATTAACCTCTACTGATTAATTTCCAGCTGCGCCTCCTTTCTGCCGCGTCGTGCCGGCCTCTGACTGGCCTTGGGGCTACACATCGGTGCCAATTTTCTACGGGAGGGTCATTATGTGCTTTAAACTCATTTACTGAATTCGTTAAAACGAACTACAGAGAACTCAGACAAAACAATCCTTCATTGAAAAATTCACAGCTAATGCGACTGCTCGGTGTTGAGTATCGAAAACTGACCGCAGACCAAAAATCGGCCTATAAACCGGCTGGACCTTCAAATGAAGACTACTTGGAACGAAGAAAGCACATTATGGTGCGTCTCCATTTTTAATAATGTCATTTTTTCCGATGCCTATCTCTACCTGATAGGTACAAACGAGGACGAAGCCGTCGGTCGTGGATCGCAGTGATAGCAGAGAGTAACACCGAAACCCACCTTTAAGGAGATCTTACCGGGTTGTTTTTCAAGATCACTATCGTTTTGTCGGCTGTCAGTGTGTATTAGAAATCCAGTTATTTCAGCTGTATGAAACGTCCCAATTCAGCTCACCGATTAATCCCCCTAAAGTATCACAGCTGTACTTGTTATGGCACATAACATTTTATATAATTCAAAATCAATGAAAACAAACAACCTAGGAATGAAAGTCTGTCAGTAACATTAGGGGTATTCTATTCAGAGATTTTCAGCTAAAGTACGAAATTGGCTGCGCGAACCACTTGCTCCTCGATTGCGGCCTATCCGATGGTGTTAGGGTCTACATTGTGGCTTAAGTTCAGAAAGACCGCCCATTCACCATGGCTAATCAGCTTTTTCCCGGTTTCCCCATACTTTTTTCTACCATCTCCCGGCCACCTTGGTCTTCTCACAGCCAGTTGCGTTTTTATTAGTCAACAGGTTCAACTATTGGCGAGAAATGCTGTGCTAACAAAGCTAAGGGCCCTTTTAACCGTTTAAATTCCAACGGATGATCCGGCACGGCACCAGCTAGTGTAACTGGTCGGTAATGTGACAAAAAGCGGCGCGTGATTCGATCGGGATATTGCTTTCCCAATGGTAACAGACCCCACTGGGCATATTGCACTCCACAATTCAACGGTGTGAATGTTTTCCATTTCTTTTGTCCTGTCGCCAGTTTTCCATTGGAATATTATCACTTGTCCTTGCCTACCAGTTTAACTTCTGGTTTTTCATTATTGGCCCCTGAAGTACCCGCTGTGTGTCTAGATTGTGACACACAATCTCGCTTGTGGTCACAGTTTGCTTTGAAGCAAACCTATTCCATTTCAATCACCGGGACCGCATTCGAAGTAGAGAGTTTCGCAGCTGCTGTCTCCCAACACTCCACTGAAGTACAGTGTTAGGAGAGAACAACTCTAGAACTCTCCGCTTCTGATTTTTCTTTGAATTGCTTCACACTATCTTTTCGTTATCATGGAGACGCTAGTGATGACAGCTGCGTGCGTCTCGCTTCGGTGTTCAGACCTGAATTGTTTAGCTGAACCGACCCCAGCGTCGCCTCTCCCCCCCCCCATTGTCTCAATCGATTTGGGCGTTGCTTAGTTGGCACCAGTGCTCAGATGCGTACAACATTGTGGTATTTGTATTACTCACTGGATTTTGACCAGGCTGTACGGCGGCGCTTACAACACTACATTGCTGCGCACCCTACCTGCAACATACAGGTAAATGTATCTAACTTTTTGCATCCAGTTCGGACGTTATTTGGATTTTTCCTATGCAATGTGGGGGGTCAACCTAGGCTTCATGCATCTGGTTAGATACATTTTCAGTATTTTACACTATCACTAAGAATGGGGAAATACATCAGGTTAATGGATAAAACTATTACATGTGTAATGCAAAATGTTTTGTGTATCACTCGAGCAAACAACTGCGCATCATACTGATGAGTTTCGTTGAGTCCACAAATAATCGTGACAAGTACGGTAGGATAGAATTGCGGTGCAAAGCCGTGCGATGAAACAAGCTTCTAAATTTAAAGTGTATAGAGCTCTATGCAGTGGATGAAAAAAGTCATTTAAACTTTGAACGATAAGCTAGTACAAGCGTCTACGTGCTTTTTTGACAATAGAATCAACAAGTGCCTCTCTAGACAGTCCACTGCATCTAGAAATACCTTTTAACTAACGCTAGTATTATATATATTCTCTTTTAATGGCTTAGCAAAATTATTGTGGAACAGTAAAGCCAACGAGACAGAATGCATATAGTCGCAAATTCAAAAATCAGTTCACGAGGTACCGAAAGAACTCTAAGTTTGAAGGCATAAAAGGATAGCCATTTAACTTAGTCAAATGTTTCCGTGACATGAGTCGACCAAGATAGGTTTTGAGATTTAAGAAAAACTGACAGTCGGTGTTCTGGGTAGGATTTTACCACTCACTACTAGTGAGGATGTGGCATTCGAAGCAGCTTACGCTTTTCAGTCCGAAGAAAAGAGAGTGTTGAATCACCGCATTTATAAATGTTTAGATTGAGAGACCGGATCGATGACCAGACCACTCTGAATAGTAGCTGTCTCAACAGTTGGAGATATTCATTCCATAGTCCATGGTTTTGTGAGAGGGCGTGATACTACCCGGTTGCCCAAGCCGAAGTAGGGAGTTGACTTAGGGGACTCCACCCCGAGCCTTTGGCTAAATAACCTGCCCGCAAGGCAGCGGCAATCACACCCATTGGGAGGCGTTGACTGAATGTTCAGTTCATGCGTCTTTGTTTGGTAGCTTACCAAACAGGGGCCCAATACTCCCCAGGAACTCAGCACAGTTGCTGGAATACAATGCCCCACGGAAGTGGAACATCGTCACCGAACACTTTGCTGGAACGGGGTACACCCGAACCACCCAGCTGGCACCACGAGGAGGTAGTTCGGCAAGCCAGCCATGGACTGTATTTCAACGTGCTCATCAGCTACTGTTTCTGCTACTCACTTTCACACGACTTCATCACACACCAATTGTTTATTTGCTAACAATCCTCACTTTCCGTTACCCGATTCATGTGTTCAACAATCTGGCTGCGATTCCGGTTGCTCCGCAGACCAAGGAGTTCAACCTATGGCTCTCCTTCGTCCCCGATCCTCGTTCCGTCTGGCGTACTTCAATCTTCGGACACTCATGCAGAATGGACAACAAGCCGGTCTAGCGCGCACCTTAGATTCCCTAGACATTGATGTCTGCTGCCTTTCAGAAGCCCGATTGCAAGATCCCAGCACTGTGCTTACATTGACATCCCCCACTGACCACGAAGCCAGATATCACCTGCTTCTTTCTGGAGATCCAGAAGCAGCCTCAGTGGGTTTGGCTGGGTAGGTATAGCACTAAGTGGCAAAGCCGAGGCGGCACTACTGGACTGGTTCCCGATTAACAGCTGACTATGTGCAGTTCGGTTTCGGGGTTCATGTAGAATCAACAGACAACGCGAAGAGAGACAACTTGTTTGTGATCTCCATGTACGCTCCAACTGACTGCAGTGGCAACTCGGTCAAGGACGAATTCTATCGGGATCTATAACAGCTCTTGACCAATGCTATAAAGTCAGATGTCGTTATCCTTGCTGGGGATCTTAATGCACGGGTTGGCCGCATGTTACCATACGAACGCCACCTTGGTGGTCATCACGCGCTCGATGAGAACCGCTCTGATAACGGAGAGAGGCTTCTCACATTGTGCGAAGACAACCGTCTGTTTCTTTCGAGCACTAACTTCAGGCGTACGAAGAAGCGTTCCGCAACCTGGTGCCCCCTTCTTCAACACAACTGTGGTTTCAAATTGATCACATTGCAATTAGCTTCAAATGGCGCGGCAGTGTACTGGACTTCCGGTCCTTTTGGTCCACCTTCGTTGACTCAGATAATGCTCTGGTCTGCGCGAAAATCTGTAGGTGTTTTAGAGGATCTCGAAACACGAAGCACCGCACGATTGATGTAAACAGATTAACTGATTTCTCTGTCCAAGCAAGCTATCAGTCTTCGCTGGCATATGCACTCAATTGCAATCCACCGCAAGACGTGGAACAACACTGGACTTGCATACGGAAGGCAATGACCATTTCCGGACAGTCATGCCGCGGCCTATCTCGACGCCCCTTGAAGGCTTGGAATCTGCTCGTTCTCTGGAGCTGTTCGTACGCCGCAAAGATATCCCGGCGGAATCAGATTGCAACGAGCGGCGCCGTTCTGCCAACCGGCTGTTCAAGCAAAGCCTACGCAAGGATCGCGAGACATGGTGGTCTGAGGGTGCTTTAGAGATGGAGACCGCTGCTTTCTCTGGCAACACTCACAGGCTTTTCCAACTCATTCGGTTCACTGGCCTCAGGAAGCCTGGTGTCAGTGAGTTCATTTGTGAGATAAATGAGTCTCCGATCATCAACCAACAGAGGCGTATGGACCGCTGGGCTGAGCACTTTCACTCGCAGTTCAACTGGCTTCCACCATCCATCAGTACATGCAGTACACCTTGTTGTCCACCCTGGCTCGTCCCACTGAATCCACCCAGCGAAGTGGAAGTCTGCCTCCAGATGGGACGCTTGAAGCGCTTCAAGGCTGCCGGCTTAGACGGACTTTCTCTGAAACTATTCAAGTACGGCGGTGTGGCGATCATTAATCAGCTGACCGCGCTGTTCGCAAAAATTTGGCATGAAGAGAAAGTGCCTTCCTTTTGGGGCGAGTCAGTTATTGTCCCAATTTTCAAGAAAGGCGTTCGCACTTCATGTGCAAATCATCGCGGGATTAGTCTGATTTCGGTTGCCTCTAAGCTGTTGGCATCCATTCTGCCTCGCAGACTATCCCCAGTACGTGAATCATACTACCGTGAAGAACAAGCTGGTTTCCGTCCTGGCCGCGGATGCGTGGATCAAATCTTCACGCTCCGCCAGCTTCTCGAACATCGCCACATTTATCACAGCCCCACTATCATTGCCTTCCCAGACATACGTGCCGCTGTTGACTCCGTTGATCGACCTGCTTTATGGCGTTGCTTACTAAAGAACGGGGTGCCAGAGAAATATACCGCCATCTTACGAGTACTTTGCCTTCATACATCCGGCAGAGTGAGAGTCTATGGCAAGCTTTCCTCGCAATTCACTGTCAATAGCGGTGTGCGACAGGACTGCCCTATGTCCCCATTCCTCTTCAACTTCGCAGTCGAAGACGTTCTGTCGAATACTCTAGAAGTTTTCCAACGTTTTGGCCTAGAGCTTCTATCGGGTGAGCGCGGGACCGACTTAGATTATACTGATGATATCACCTTACTTGGTGACGATCCTCAGAGTATGCAACTCATTCTGGA